CGGGAAAATAAGAGATCTTCCCGCACGACTCGCGATACGAATTACAATGGCCGGCGGGGGTGGACGAACGTAGCTCTCTCTCTCTTTCTCTCGCTTTCTCCGCCCCTTGTTGGGAATACCTTGTTTCACCTCGTCTCTTCCGTTTCTTCTACGCAATTTGAGGCAGAAGCCGCGGAATTTTAAAACGATCGCGATCAGCAACTCTGTAGGTGTGGATAGGGAGCGGAAAGGGAGCGGGGTTTATTTGTTAATAACTGTGGCGGAGTTGGAGAGAGTCGTTGCTTCGAGCTGGCCAAGTTTGCTGGAATCTAGCACGGTTGGTAATCGAAAATTGGGGAAAAAGATTCTACATTTATCGTGGTATATTTTGAAAAATGAGAAAATATATATTATAAATTGGGCAAACTCTAACGACTCACGAATTCTTTATTTATTAAATGAAATATGAATCGTTGAAATACGTGAGAGATACACACATGATAAAAATAAAAGTGGGATGATGGAAACCTCGTCAAGACGAAAAGTAAAAAGAGGAAAGGAAGGGAAAAAGCTACGCCATTCTTCGAACCCTCCACGCGATTTGTCATCGATCGATCGATATCGATATTTAATACACCCCTTCCGAGGCCTAATGGACATCCAATGCCGGTGACGAACGAGAATCGAGCCCATTGTCGGGCCGCAATTTACATTTTTCCCTACCCGGCAAGCGTAGTAGGAACACGCCCGTGGTGACACGGAGATCACGAGGAGAGTTCCACCAAGAACAATGGACGTCACGCGCGAGTCGTGGCGTGGTCGAGAGAGGTGGGACGACAGAGTGAACGTTTGTTAAATCGGCGGCGGCCGATCGAACGACCGATAAAAAAAGAAAAGAGTTTGTCGAAGATGCGAGGAACTCGAATTTTCCCATTTACAAAATAAACTTGGTCCAACGAATTTTATTTGAAATTACTTTCGCTATTGGCAAGACGAGAATCATATCGATTAAATTAAATAAAATTATTAAATTAAATAAAATATTCCAATTCTTTTCAATTTTATGTAAATTGGGAGCAAAGTTTTTCTCCTCATCTCTGTTCTCGCGTGTTATAATGTAATAAGTATGTATGGTAACAGGTGATTTAATTAATATTTGTAAATCGAATCAATGGACGATTTGTCATAGGCGTTTTTAAAAAAAAAATTGGCAATTTCGAATTGTTGTTACCAGGGATAAAACGAGTCGATACGTTTCGATCCACGGATTCCGCGCAACGCCGCGAGGAAAGTGTAACCGTTCGTTGAAATCTCCGGCCGAGTTTCGGCGCTTCTTAATTTCTCCCGCGCCGTTCGCGATTTAAAACCTAAAGAATATCTTGGTTACTCTATATATTAAATTCTTTCATCAAGCATCGACAATTAAATATTCACAGATATACGATTACAATATTACCTATACGCCAAAGAGACTTTATTAAAATCGAATCACGATACTCTAAATACACTTGCATACACTTTTCCTGAGAGGAAAACAATAAATAAAAAGAGAAAAAAGGATCCCAATATCATCACCAACGATTAGGAGATCGCGGCAAGAGCTGGAATATCGCGAAACTAGAAAAAGGAGGAAAAATAACAAACCACCGAGGAACCAGCCCTCCTCTGAGAAAGGATCGGGGCAGAAAGGAGAAAGGACACTCTAGACTTTCTTAGAAATCCTCGTTATTCCAGCCGAGCGGAGAGGCAAGGGAAAGCCACGAAATATCCGAAGAAAAACACGTTTCCAGGGCCGGGGAATCGATAGCAACAATGCCGTGGCAAAAGCACGAGGCCTTCCGAGAGCGAAGGGGCCACCGAGGAAAAGGGGAGGAAGAGAGAGAGAGAGAGAGAGCGTCCGTGCGCTGGAGGGTAGGTAGAGGGGAGGGTAGGAGGGAGCCAACGAACTGTTGTAGGGTGAGGCAGAGGGAGAGAGGAGCCGGTAACAGGGAGAGGGTGGAAAGCACGATGGTACGGAGGCAGCAGCCTTATTGGAATCGTGGAGAGAGGGAGGCGAGTTTTCCTAAGGGCAGAGAGGAAGAGAGAGAGAGAGAGAGAGAG